AGATATTCGATCAGAACTGATGAGAGATGTGGTTATTATGCAGAAAATGAACAATTTCACAAATAAAACATCAACTACAGATGAGGAGAAGATCTATGCTGCACAGTTCTATCTAAAATTGAACTGAGAATGACAGGAAATTCATCCACGTTGTTCAATGTTTCACAGAAAATATTTAAAACTGTCTGACAACCAGCTTCACAGTTTTATGCAGCCGGTTAAACTTTGAAAAGGGGGAACTGATTTGACTCCTCACAGAGGAAAAAAAATCCATTATACATTAAACTGATGACTTTATATGTTTTTAGTTTTTGCTCATTAAAAAGTTTTAACAGATATTCTTCTTTTTTTCCTCCCTACAACTGCTGCAGCTAATGAATGCTTTCGATTAAAGTTGAACTTTCTAGCATGTTTTGGATTCATTATGCAGTTGTGGTCTCCACTCCAACCCCACCTGCAACCTCTCCTTCATCCTCCACTCTGCTGCTCCTATCACAAAGTCTGGCCCAGGTTTATCATCATCAGTCGACAGTATAACAAGTAAAACTAAACTAACAATTACAAGTTGTTGTGATAAAACATTAGAATTCACTTAAATAACAATAAAAACTCAATTTTAGTGAAAATTAAAACTAAATAAAAATATAAAGAAAATACTTTTAGGTAAATGTTATTTTGACTTTAGAGAAAACCTAATGGTTTTCCAGTAAAATTAAAATAGTCCAGTTAGTCCTGAAACCAAGTCCAAATACAATATGTGTTTGTTAATGTGAGGGAGAGACACGTAATAGTGAAGCTGCAACGAGCAGAGAACGTGAAGGTGGACTAGTTTAAATCCCCGGAGACAACCATCCAAAGAAGGAGAGGGGAAGACGAGACTGCAGTCAGGGGTGGTTTACGAGATATTAGAGAGAGCTGCTGTGATGTGTGGTTTGCAGAAGGTAGCACTGACAAAAAGACAGTGGATTGTCATAGGGCGTGTCCAACATGGACGAGATAATCAATGAGTACATCAGAGGGACAGGGCAGCAGTTTGAAGAAATTAAAAAGCTAAAAAGGCAAGGCTGAGATGGTTTTGGACACGTGAAGAGCAGATAGTGGAGACAGAGCTGCCAGGCAAGAGGAAAGGACGAAGGCCACAGAGACAGGGTGAGGTGGAGGTAGACGGTCCGCTGCTGTGACCACTGAAGGCAGCAGTTGAAAGAAAGGAGAAGCAGACTGTGACCTGAATAAAAAGCTGTCATTTTTAGATGTGCCGAATCTTCTCCCTTACATTACTTCATATTTTTGTCAGTAAAATCTGCTATTTTCTGCATAATGCTACTTCTACGGTAAAGTGGCTGTTGAGGTACAGCCGGTCATAGACTAATCCAGCCTGCATGCCAAAGTAACTGAAGCCCGAGTTGCTCTCTGGTGCGTTTATAATAATGTGAGTGTGTAGGAGGGATGTGGTCTCTGGCCTGCTGCAGTGGAGAGGTGGTGCAGTGAGCTCATGGGGTGGTGCCGGGATGTCAGAGGGGACAGGTGATAATGATGGCACTGATGACTCGCTGCCCTTTTAAAGTGATGAAAGAGACTGGTGGAGCGCTGTGTGTAGCGGAGGAAGCCACAGAGAGAGCTGGCTCCGGGCTACAAGACAGTGCCAAACATAAAAAGACGCTTGTGGTCAAAAATAAAGCCGAAACCATGACAACTGTACACTGTGTGGGTCCGGTCATTTCACAGTGTTAGATAGAAAGCTGGTGTGAATGAGGCATGTTGCATAGAGTAGAAAAAACACTCTTTAAAAAACAGTCCATTTGCCAAAGTTTACATCTGATTTTGTTTAAAGCAGAGCTTTCTGTAGAGTTTTCACTGTGTTTATTTGGGACTTAAAGTCCTTAAAAAGTTCAAATTTATCACTGACTGGTGAAAAAATTGGAAAGAAGAAATCAGCAGTCACCCTCCATGTTCACTTTAGTTAGCCTCTCATGTGTTTGACCTACACACGAGTAATACAAGAGTACATGAGGGGCTCAGCTCCAAATACTGGACGACTCAGTAAAAATAACTGAAGGGAGCCAAAACTTTGACAGCTGCTTCTTCATCTTCCCCGGGCATTTCAAAACTCCTGGCCTCTTGCCTCTGTCTCCTAACCCTTGGACTTCACTTTGAGAGAAAACGTCATTGACACAAGACCCTTTAATAATGCCAATCTGTGGATCTCTGCAGAAGGCCGTCTTTTTCACGTCACTACAACATTAAATGCAGGTTATAGAAGCAAAGCCCACCAGTGGCTTCATTAAAAAGGCTGGAAATTGAAAGAAAAGGTAACCTGAGACTATCAAATTAAATATTATTTTCTTATTTTTCCTGCCGGAGACTTTGTGCCTCTGGTTGGAATCGTACCAGCGACCTTTCACTTCTACATAAGAGGCAAAAAAACCCCAAACATATAAAAGATTTCTATTTCTTCCCCCACTTACCTCGACTCCCACTGTAGAAGGGGTTTGTCAGTGGCAGGGACACCAGTCTCATTGGGTCTCTTCCCATCATCCCTCCATCATTCTTGTGCAGCCCAAATGTCCCGTTTCCTCCGTTCCCTCCTCCTCCTCCCTGACTACCTCTGGTGCCGCACTTCCGGCCAGCTGCACCTCCGTCTTTGACACCCGCTGGTTTGGCCAGCGTCACCTCCACAGCGGCTCCGTCGATCTGGGCTCCGTTCATGAGGCTGAGCGCGGTGAGGGCGTCGCTGCGAGAGCGGTAGTGGACGAAGGCGTAGTCGGTGAGCTTCTTGACTCTCTCCACGCAGCCCGGCTTGAAGCGGGAGAACTCCTGACGAAGAGTTTCCTCCGACGTCTCCAGCATGAGGTTTCGCACCTGAAGTACAAACGAGAGTTAGTTTAAGTGGCTGCTCAGGCTTTGAAAGCAGAGAATGAAATAAAACACACAGCAGACAGACGATGCAGATCACTTTTATTCCTGGTAACCATGTCCGAACAGCAGCAGGAACAACCCTCTGGCACCAAAAAAATTTTGATTTCACATTTTTAGTCAAACCTTTTCAAAAATGATCAAACAAAAGGCGCGTGGCGTTACATGTCCTCGTTGATCTCACCACGTTTTGACCCAGAACCATTTTATTTGTCATGATTTCACCTGATGAAGTAAAAACAGGCTTCCCCACTCACACCTTACCTCAGGTGACCTCAAAAGGTCACATGACAGTGTGGTCTCAACCCCCGGTGATGATGATGGCTAAAGCCTTTTTTCACACATTGTGGGTCATGTGATCAATAGAGGGTTAACAGCCACCTAAGAGGAGAAACTCAACTACAGTTTAAACTCCATCTTTTGGTTTCAGAACTGAAAGCGCCTCTTGGGTGGGAGCAGAAATGTCTTCACGAAGTTAAACAAGTGCAGCTGCCTTCTATTATTTTTACAAGCTCTTAAGGAGCCAGTGTTGGGCAGTGTTAGGAGAAGCTGGCTGAGACATGCACCTAGTTTTTTCAGGTTTTTCAGGAAACTAAATGTGACCAGACCAAGCGAATTCTGGGCTTAGACCCGGAATTAGCTGGAAAGATCATTTCTCTCATCTGGCCTGGAAATTCCTCGGAAACTTCCAGGAGGAACTCAACTCTGGATGGAAATGGTGTCAATTAAATCACCAGAATAACAAAATAAATCCAGACAAGCAGAAAGTGCTGGGAGTGAAGTGCCAGACAGGAAGTAGATTTGCTCTGTCACTAACCGTTTATCAATACAGGACACTAGGTTGCCTAGGTAACCCTGTAAAGTATTTATTGCCCTGCCAATCAGCGGTACCCAATGGCTTGCCTCGAAGCTGAGAAATCATTTAATTGATTTCCCATCATCTCTGCTCGCCGCGTTGCTTCTGTTTGCTTCCTTTTGGTCTCGTGTGTTGAGTACAGATGAATTTAAATGGTTTTTTTTGTGCATTTTTCTATTCAATTCAAACAAATCACAACCGCAGTCACCTCAAGGTGCTTTATACTGTACGGTAGGGACCCAACAATATTACAGAGAAAGGCTCCTGTATGTTTAGTGTCAGCAGCTTTTGTGGCTCTGCTATTTTCTAGCAGCTCGATGGTGTTTTAGAGCAGCTGAATTCAGAATAAAGCTGTTCCCTGTTTTTGTTGTCAGACAACTGCACAAGCATGAAACAGGCACACACACCCTCCCTGTTAAGACCTAAAAACAACTTATGGCCATAAACAAAGCCGAGACTGTGAAATGAGATAAAGGTGCTGGTCTATTACACCCCAAAATACAATTAAAAGCGAGTTCATGGCCTACTAACTAACAATTTTATTTATTTTATTTTCATATTGAGTTTTGTTCATTAGGTTTGTAATTAGTTCCTTTTTGTGATCTCTCTCAGTCTCCGACTATGTGACTTTACTTCTGTTAAGTCAGCCCTCGCCAGTCAGTCGTGTCTCTGTGTCTGTTTCCTTTTAGTCTGTCCCGCGTTTTTATATATTTGTCTCTCTTATGTTTCCTGTCTTGTTTTGATAGTCCCCATCTCAGGTCAGCTTCCCCGTCTCGTCAGTCAGATTTAGCTCACCTGTGTTCCCTGGTCCATCTTCCTGAAGTCTGTCTGTCAGAGTGACTGTTTCAGTTACTTTGCTCTGCTTTTTTATTTTGTTCAATTAGCCTTCTTGCCAGCGATAAACTTGTATATTTAGTTAAGCCCATCTACCAAGTCCTGCCACACAACTTTCCCATGACATGCTCAGCAAGCTCAGCCCAGTTTAATGCAGAGATGTGCATTAAACTTAATGGTAAAATGATCGGGAACGTTTTGGTTGAGATTCCCTAGATGGAAGACCTGAACTGAAAACCAGCTCATTCGCGATGCATGCAGCAAACCAGCAGGATAAGCCTCAACTACCGTGGAGCTGCAGATTTATCCAGGAACAAGCTTTCTGTTTTGGACACGTGAGCTTCATCGAACTCCTTACAAACACCTTTAGAGTTTTAAAGATTTACTGTCTTTGTTACAGCCGAACCGAAGCAGAAGACAGTGGAGCTGGTGACTGAAGAGGTATAACAAGAGCCACCCGAGCACATTAAAAAGCATCCTGATTAGTGTCTTTGAAACTCCATCTAACACCAATGTTAGTGAAAAAGTCTTAACAAACTCAAGCAGTCACATTTTGTGCAGACGAACAGATTCTGCTCGACTTCTCTCTAAACTTCATCGCTGTGGC